AAGGGAGGAAAACACGCGGCAGAGAGAGACGAAGACGGGAAGGAGAAAGACAGAGGTGGGACCCGGTTGAACGGGAGTGGCAGTTCTTGCGATTAGCGAGCGACTAGGGGAAGCTCGGTGCCGGAGTCTGAGGTTTTAATTAAGCATTCACTGCGGATGATATCGCATGCCTCTTTATACTTCATAGCAGCCAGATGTTGCTACGAGGACCTTCCTCGCCTTAGGTCCTCCGTGCCCCGCCACCTCGCCACGGAAGGAACGTCGCTATTTCGTTTTAATTATGCATGTTTAATTTGCTTATATCCTGGCCGCCGCTGATACGCGCCGCGACTAGACGTTTCTGCCCGAGTTTCGCCACTGTTTCTCCCCCTCCTGACAAAGATTTCTCTATGACCTGACGCTTTATAGTGATTGCTTGACGTTGCATCGTGTTTTAGGTTCACTTTGCCACAAGAATTTTGGAGGAAATTACGTGTAATATAATTTACTATTTGCATTTAGCGTTAGTTCATATTGAATTCATATTGTTGTCAAGAAAATGAAAGGATGTTCTTTCTCTAATGTTAATCATGATTAAACTACGGATGTTTAGAGGTTTGTGACAAAATTTGAAAGAAATTCCTCGGAATGCGCACGTGACGACAACTCCCTGTGCAATCTGCATAGACATTCCAGTCTGACGATAATTTTTAAAAACACAAATTGTCGAGAATTGGATTGCCGGATGAAATTTTCTATGACGAAAATCAGAAAGATTGAAGGAACACAGCTCTTCCCAGTATCAGACAACGAAGCATTTTATACGTTAATGGATTTAAAACGTATGCGTAATTAATTGAATGTCTTCAAAAAATCTGCGAACATTTTTAAGAAATCAGTAAAGAAACACTAATCTTCTTTTTACCGAAGTTTCCAAAGGTTATTCATAAGTTTGCACACGATAATTAAAACACACTGACGGTGCACCCTCGGACGAGAAGGGATGACAATTCTACGAAGTTCGGACGTAGAGCGACTAGAAACGTTTCTTGAGAGGAGAGGGGGGCGGGTGAGTGAAGGGGATGGAGGGAAGAGGACAATTTTATTTGGAGTCTTTAACGAGTTCGCTTTTACCTCGTCGAAGAGGAAAAAGTTGGAAAGGATGGCAGGGAGTCGTGTTTCGTGAACGAAGGGCGAAAGTTTCCCTTGCGGAGAGGACTCGTTTCAGTGATCCGGTGATTGACAGATCGAACCCCGGCTCGCAGACCATGCTAAAATGGCGACGAAAGATGGTTTATTTTTAATGGCGGATGTAACGGAGGAAAGCGTTTTTTTTTTTTTTTTTTTTTTTTTTTTTTTTTAGTTTGACGACCATGGTCTCAAACTTGAAATCTAATATGTTAAAAATGGCAAAGACAATGGACTTTTTAATATTATGAAAGCTAAGTGAAAGTTTTCATTCTTTAAATTTGAATTATTCGAGCAATGTTCAATAACTCTTGAAATTGTTCAGTTTGTTTATATATTGCATAAGATAATAGAAGTTTCTGGCCAAAGTATAATTTTATGATACTGTGAGAATAAAGAGTTTTTTTAAAAAAGGTATAGAATTGCACTTTCTAAAATATACAGACTAAAAAATTTACACGGACAGCATTTTATTCACGTATAAATTACATCGAAATAAAATTGGAAATTTCTGACAGCTATATTTGTACAATCACATACACTTTTTTTAATTGTTCAAGTATACTCGAATATTTCAATCGAAATCACCTTCTCGACACGACGTTGAGAAAATCGGAAACATCACTTTCAAATCAGATTTAACAGGCAAACGGAAAGTGAAGACAAAATTCTGCGTACGCAAAGCAGTTTTAAAGCGCGTGGAATTTTCTATTGAAAAGAAAGTGGTTCGAACATGGTACACGAGTCTCTTTATATCACTCGATAGCCTATATATTAGGAGGGTGGGGTGACGGTGTCAATATATATGCAAACGCCGACATAACGATCTATCGGTACGTAAATATATAAGGGGTGCGAGAGGAGCGCGGGCCGCAGGACGTCGAGGAAAAAGAAGGACGAAGGGGGTGAGCGGGCGCGGCATCGAGAAAGGGAGAAGAAGCGAGGAAGAAAGAGGAAAGTCGAAGCTTAATATAAAACTTCATTTCGCAATCGGTGGCAGCCGGAGAAAACGGAGAGAACTGACAGACAGAAATTCCAGTACCGTAAAAAGGGGCCTCGCCTGGAATCTCCCATTTTTCTAGTATTAAGCTTGCCCGAGATAAGATAAGCGCGAACGTTCGTGGATTCGAGCACGCGGCGTTGCTGCAAAAAAAGAGGAAATTTCTCAGTTGGAAGAAAGCGGAACGGCACGGCGACCGATGAAAATTCCTTTCGAATCTATGCTTTCGGAAAACATTCAGAGTAAGATAGATTTTTTTTTTCACTCTTGCTGCAAAATAATTGGAATTACCAATTTATTTTGCAGCTAATAATTTACTAAATCTTTTGCCTTGTATTTTTTTTCGTAAATTTTTTTCTCTATTCATGCTACTTACTACATTCCCTATTATTTATTCGTACTACTTATTATTTCATCTATTATTATTTCGTATTGCTATAACACTGCGATGTTTCGTCTAAAATATTAATATTTATTTCCAGTAATCCATAAACAACCACTTTATTTTAATATTTAACTTATAAAATAGAAATAGATATAATTTATCTACGTTATACTTGATCCATAATCCATATCACAAGTATCGAAGATTATCCAGAATATCGAGCATATATAATAAATAAAAAACAGTATATAGGTATAGTAAAAAATAAAAGTCTCAAATTATAATAAAAAATATTACAGACACGCTCGATCAGTGCTTGAAAAAGAATAATTCAAACCACGCGTGTGATTCAATGTTACGAGGTAAAGAAGTTGAAGATGATACCTATAAGACACCAAAAACCGCGTAAAAATTGCAGAAGGTATTCTACAAGTATACCATCTCTGAAAAGCAGGCCATGAAATCTAAAACGTAACAATTTGATAGAAAACATAAAAGTTGAGAAACTGAAGCACCGTTTCACCAAGAAGGCAAGCGTCCGATGCACGTAAGAAATCGGAATTTCGAATCGATCAGAAAAAGAAAGATCCTCGGAGGTCTCCCGGGAGGCTCGGTGATCCGCCACCCCTTGCATCCTCGGTCGTATTCCTCCTTGAAACGAACTTTTCGTCCGTATATTTCGAGCATCCTTCCTATATTCTTTCGGTGTGCGGCAGAAAAGAAGGGGTCGGAGCCGAGCGGAGCACGGCGCGCGCGATGAAACTTTTAATAAATGGCGGAGTCGATATGAAGTATAGGACTTTGACATATCGTGTGTCTGTAATGTATAGTTAAATCTGGCGGCAGATGTGGCGGCAGCTCGCCTCTCCCTCTCGCGCGCTCTCTCGCTCTCGTTCTCCGCTCTGAGCCATCCGCGCCCTCGTTCGCGTTACGACTCGGATGTCGCCCTTTCAATCTCACTCTTTCTCACTGGCCAACTCTCTCGCTGCGCCAAAAATTTTCGATTCTAGCTGCTACGTTCCGATACACATTCCGAGTATAGATCACAGGTTTCTAGAATAAATACACAGAGCGTAGATCTAGCGAAAATTTCTAAAGATTTAAAAGGGACAAACGGAGATGACAGTTTTCTCGTATTTGCAAGATTAATAGTCCGACGTTCCCGTAATGTCTAGAAAACTAGTAAAATGAAGTTTTTTGAATATTTGAAAAAAAGAATATTCTGTTATATATAATTCTTAAACAGAACGAGCCCGAAAGATAATTTTAGTAGAACTTTAGTCTACGATAATTTTAGTAAAATAATGTACTATCAAAATATTCTTAATTGGATAATCTACTAGTATTTTATTGACAGAATGAAATCCACTGATATTCATTTTGCTTGTAATAGAGAATTTGATCACTCTCCAAAATTAGGTTAAAAAGGATAGAAACATTTCCTTGCTATCATCTATCATTTTCTTTCACATAGAAAAAGGCATCCATAGTTACCTAAATTTGTAATACATTTCGCTCCGCTGCGAGAGAATTATTCCATCGTATCTTTAATGCACCAGAAGCAAAGAAAGGAGGAAGTAAAAAGCGATTCATCTACATTCTAGGGTGCATCGTGCAACGAGGGTAGTGACATGAATTTTTTTGCCCGGGCAAAACGGTGGCAAAGTTTTCGATCAAACGGGCTGTCTAAATGAGAGCTCCTCCACAAAGCGGATCAGGGTAATCTGTCATCAAAACTGCCCCACGGCAAGTCGCCGTAACACCAGCCGGCGCCCCCAGCGGCCGGAAACCGTAGCGGCAACGCGTCACATCCACACGTTCCATCCCTGAATCTACTATCGAATTTACTACCCTCGTAAAATTCCCAACGATTTTCTCGGAACTTTGGCCGATCGGAGCGATGTTTTGATCGCGTTAAATCGCCCGGTGCTCACGTTTTGAGTTTCAATGGATCCTATCCCGCGAACTTTGACTACTTTTTATTCAAATCGTATCGGGAATCGTGCCATTAGTTCGCAGGGACCGTGCAAAATGCAAACAAAGTATTCTATATTAATTTCGGTGAAACCAACCCAACAACGTTCTAAACTAAAACAAAAAAGAAAGAAGACTCTTACTATTCAAACCACGTTCGATTCTCCAAAGAAGGAAACACGTCTCGAAAAAGCATGCTCCAAAAAAAAAAAAAAAAAACATTCCACGATCTTTGCCACTCGCGATACTCATCCGCATGCGAGGAATCTATTTCACGAAACAGAACGGAACGGAACGGACCGAAACGGAAGAAAACTCGTCCATCCGAGAGTCGGATCTTTACCTTCTCCTCGGCCGTTCCCCCGAAGGAAGTGGAAGAACCGCGTGGCCGAGCACGTGAGAATTTCCCCTCCACGTGGCTGGTCGTCAGAAGCGGCGCGCTCGCGCGTCCCGCCCACAGTTGCGCCAGAATCCATGACCGCCTCCGTCGGCCTCGTGGTCGTGGCAGCGAACAGGAGAGAGTCTGCTGGCCGCACTGCCGCGCCGAGGCGAGAGGCACACAGAGCTCTACGGTTACGCGGGTGCCTGTGTTCGTCGTACCCTCTGCCGGGTTCCGTGCCCTCGGAACCTCGATACGGCCAGCCCGCCTACGACGCCGGAGGGTTGAGCCTCTACCTCTGCGATACCGCCGCCCCATTGGTCGACTCGTTCTACTAGCACCCGATCACGTGACTTAGCCGCAGCACGGTGGCACGCAGCAGCGTGAGAGAGAGCCGACCGCACGACGAAAGCGGAGTGACGCCGAAGAACCCCTCGGCCACCAACCGCCAAGGCCCCCCTACTCGACGGAGAAAACGAGACAGCAGTAACAACAGAGACACGCCACGGAGAACATTGCAGAAGCGAAAAAGACCGCGGTGGAATTCGTCAGGGTGCCGCCGCCGCCGCCACCGCCGCTGCCGCTGCCGGCTTCGAGTGGAAGTCACCAGGCGAGAGTCTCTCTCTTCTTCGTCTCCGAGAGTCTCCTCTCTCCTCTCCATCCCCTGCTGCACCCTGTGTTTCCGCCACCATCGTGCTCGATCCTCGAACGCTCGATCCCTTCCCACCTTCTCTTCCAACCTCTTTCTTTTCTCTCTCTCTCTCTCTCTCTCTCTCTCT